TAAGACAATCCATAGAAGAAAATATCCGAATTTTAAGTATAGGTTTGTTTCACTTAGGTATATCTTTCTTTTACTTGGCAGGTAGCTGTAGAGCCTTTAGATACTCGTGCTGTTCAATAAATTCAGTAGTTAAATTAATTATTAATTGAAAAAAACTAACATTTTAGATCATTCGTTAATTTTCGCACAATATAGGTATGTGTATAGGTATCTACTGTATTCGTAGTATGTAAAATTGATGAACCGTCATAAATATACCTATTAACGTTTTTAAGACGAAATAGTTAAGTTCTAATGTTAAGTGACGTTAACGTTAGCTTTAAATGACGCTTATAAAACTCATTACAAAATAATTGACTTAAAAATGCCTAACAATAATTGTATTTTCACTTATAAGTTTGCACTAATAATAAAGAGCTTATATTTTAAACCGATTATATAATATTTAATTAATACTTATTCAGTTTTTTTTTCAAAACTTCCAATATTGGTTTAAAATCGAAAACATTAATTTATTCAGTGCACTCTATCATAATAATGTTAAATTATAAGATACTTACATATTATATATGTATTTATGCAACAAATATTTCAAAGTAACAGACAGACAATGTGTTAGTTTAGTGTTTAGTGTTAGTTTAAATGTTAAATTATAAACAGTCTGCAATTGCGATATGTAATAGGTTCAATAAGACATTTGAGGCAATTAAAAGTAATTAGTAAGTGTATCGGTTATCAGGTAATCTATACGTAATTGAAGAACGAATTTTATTAAGTGTATGTGCTTTAATAAAAAATGTAGAGCTAGAAGGATTATTTGAAGGAAATAATAAATGGTGTAATTAACGGTATCTTGAGTTTTCAATCAAAACTATGTTTGTTTTATAGAAATCGTGTGTAAAATTAGTTTAAGCTTCTCAGAACGGTAATAATTAATTAACTACTAATTATTCAAAGATAATTTACAAACCTCTTTCTGTCCTTAAAGTTTCACCTGCAAGGAATAACATTATAACTCAATGTCGCAGCAATTTTTAATTTAGACTTTTAAATATACCTATAAGAAACAAACGACTCACCCTCGCTTCGCTCGGGTTCGTCCTTAGGTGGTTCTTTAGATTGACATAACTTTTTTATTTATAAACTGATGGAAATAAAATAAATACTAAATTTTAAGTGAAGCTTAACACAATACATCAGAGAAAACCACACCCAAATCGGTTAAGCCGTTTCTGAGATTAGCGCGCACAAACGCACAGACAAACAGACAACAATTCTAAAAATCAGTTTTTTGGGTTGTATTGCATTAATAAAGACCTCCAATAATAGTTTTTCTTAAATATCTTCCATCTACAGACATCGATCAGTTACAAACTATACAGATAAATAAAATTGAAGTCTCTGTTTGTAATGTCAAAATAACAGCTTTTTACTTAATGCATATGAAATTATACCTATACGGTATTTATAAGAAAATACAATTTTTTAAATTTTTGTCTCTCTGAGTGTCTGTTCGTTTGTTTGTTTCGGATAATCTCTGAAACGGCTGGACTGATTTTGACGGCACTTTCACTGGAAGATAGTTGATGTAATATAGGGAGTAGCATAGGCTACTTTTATTTTAGAAATAGAATTAGGGTGCCGCTAAAAAACTTAAACGTGAGTACCTAGGGACGAACCCGAGCGAAGCGACGGCGAGTCGCTAGTTTTATTATATGTATAAATTAATTTCCATTTTATTGACCTTGTTACTAATTTACAATATTGTTTTTTGCAGGCAAAATATTATAGCGTGATATCGTGACCCGGAGCACTCTAAGGCAGACCGTCGCGTCGCGTCGTGGCGACATAGTAGTAGTGCGTTCGCGTTACTCATGGCACTTATTACGATAACGAGAATTTGTTTTTGTTTTCGATTAATAATAATATTTTAAATATTTATATTAAGAATTAGACGTCATAATTATATCGATAAACGTATAGGTCTTTCCTGCATTTTGTACCAGCCAGTAGCAAGAACCCGCGAAAACGTATTGGCCATTTAGATTTTCCATCACACAATACACGAACATATCTTCACCTAACCGCTTGCTAAAGATGTATAAAGTAACTATATGAGCGATCAAGTGAGCAATAGCAGAATAATGCACTTTAGGTATATTTTCTCCTAGGTACCTACTAATAGGCAGTACCAGTGATAACGTGCTCGCTTGGGAAACCGAGTAAAGCGAGTTCAAATCCTGGGTCTCGCACCTCAGATATGTTCATGTGCGAATCATTTCTAACATAATTACCACTTGTCTTACGGTGAAGGAAAACATCGTGAGGAAACCTGCATGCCTGAGAGAACCTAGCAAGTTTGTGAAAGACATGTGAAGTCCGTCAATCCGCACTTGGCCAGCGTGGTGGACTACGGCCTTATCCCCCTTGACTTGAAGGGATGCCCGTGCCCAACAGTAGGACTTTAAAAAGGGCTGATTACACACATACACCTACTAATAATACCCTCCTTACCGATGTCGGCCTCGGCTCTCTCTGTCTCTGAGATTAAACATTAACTTAGATATTATGCGAACAAGTATGTGCGCCAGCACAAGTATTTTATATACCTACTCGCTACTCTTTTTCCCTCTCAAACTCTAGGAATGCTATTCGACACAGGACCGACGGCTTTACGCGCTTACCGAGGTACAAAGGATAACAAACCCAACTTTTCAACTGCGGGCTAGTGTTATTAAGGATTTTTTCATAAATAAACTCACTAGACCATTGAGGCAGTCAGTCTTTACAGACTACGATGTTAAAGACGTATTAAAGCACAATTATAAGCTAGGTACCTGATTTTGAACAAATTCTGATTTGGGAATGAATTTCTTTTGGGACTTTATATAAGGACCGCGCCTAAACCCTTAGTATGAGAGTGGTTACTACAATCCCACATCTGCCACTAGATATCATTATCAGATCGAGATATTAAAGAGTAAAGCGAGTCTATCCCAAACGGCGCACTGTATAGATTAGTAGGTATTTCCTACAATTTTACAAGTTTTTATTTAATTGTTATTTGGACCGAAGATTTTAAAATAGGCAAAACATTAATCAAATATCCTCAGCCACATATTGCTTTGAATTGATAAAAATATAAATTAAAAATTTCTATAAACTGAAAAACAAACATTAAGAACAGACGTTTCAATTCACAAAGCACTTATTGGTTTCTAATAAACTATAAATAAAACTATGTTCCGGTACACACTACATCGTTTACCTTTCGTCACGTACTTAATAGTTAATAGAGTCTTCAAATACAACAGACGAAGAAAAAAATAAGTAATTTTCGTCTCTATTATAAATAACATAGAGCTTAAAATATATTTATTGATGCAAAATGTATTGGCTAAGTATGAAAGCTGTCACGTTATCTATTGGGGGCACAATGGAGAAATAATTTGTTCAAATTGCCCTCCAGACTACCGGCATTATCGAAATAATTGCTTGTATTAACAAGCTTCGTGTCTAAAAACTTATTAAATGACAACCTTGAATTTTTATTGTAAGAATAATTACTTTACTGTGTATAATATAAATTATATCTTAGTAATATTATAAATGTAAAAGTTTAGAAGTTTGGATGTTTGTTACTCAATCCGCCAGAACGGCTGAACGGACTAGATGAAATTTGGCACAGAGATACATTATAGTCTGGATACATAGTACATAGGCTACTTTTTATCCCGGAAAAAATGTACGGTTCCCGTGGGATAGATTTGTTTTTGTTTTTCTATAGAAGAATCCGAGCGAAGTTAGGGGAGCCGCTAGTTTTTTATATTTACCTTCTGTTAAAAAGGTATAAGAATGTAACGATTGGGTCGCCGGTTGATAATTTGACTTTAATATGGAAGAAACTAGAAGAAAGGAAAATAGCAGATATTTCAATGTACTTATCTATTTACAAGTTTAGTACCTACATAAATGTCAGTTAAGTTAGTTTAAATAGTTTACATATAAAACGTAAATAGCTTTACATTAATAGAGTTAATAGAGTTGGCACAAACATTATTGATAAATTAAGGAAAACCTATCTTATTGTTTACCAAAATCCATTTTATACCATGATTAAGATTCAATATTATCAAAATAATACTTTCTTAGCCTATAATTAAATAAAACTATGTTCAATAAAACTATTTTTTGATTTTTTTGCGGTTTTATTTTACTTTTTTGTTTCCGACGCTTCGAATGGTTTACACCTACTATGGTTTAACGAAAGAGATTAGGTCTCTGAAAGAAAAAATGAAAAAAAAGAATGGAAAAATATGTGTCTTAAAAAAAAGATTCATCTAATCTTTACTCCTATCGAGTCAGTCATGCAACAAATTCTCTACAGAATTGTACAATAATTAGTATTAAGGTAAAAGTATATTATATAATCTCGTTGTTCCTATACGATGGAGATGTATTTTATATGTTATTTTTGTGATAAACGCCTATAAAAATAAATAAATAATATGAACGGACTGATAAAAAGAAAGTTTATGATAGTAAATAAAAACAAAATAGGGAGGTACAAAAGCTGTGTGTAACTGTCGCGCTTAAAACTCTACTTTTGTCGAATTTTAATAACAATTTATATAAGCTCAATAAATATGTAGAATTATTTTAATAATAAAAGAACTTTATATCGGTTATATTGGTTTATATAGATATATTATTGTTACAGGAAAAATTATAACAAAACTTTAGGTATACTACTACATTGCACTACTACTAGGTATACCTACTTATTGTATCCCACGTAGGTATAACTGTTGTCTAACAGAGAACTGTTAAGAAATTTGACTAACTTATAAATTGTAAATAATAAATTATAGAAAGAATGATATCTTTATATTTAATTTAAATTAAATTAAAAAATCTTTATTTAAATTTAAAATAATAAATAAATTAAACCTTTAATTAAAATATTTATTTAAATATTAAATTAATTTAATATTACTTACCAGAATCACTATCATCTCTATCATAATGTGGTCGCCAATACGTCTCATCGTATCTCAAAGGAACCTCTGACCGTCCGGTAAACTTAGTGGGGTCTAATATATTTTCTACTGAAAAAGCAATAGCTGGTCTATCAGGTGGTCGGGTTAACCCGAGCCGCCTCGTGAGATCCACTGGTGCGGCCTCTTCGACCCCAACCACGTCCACGTCATGGGCTTCAGCTTCCGCCTCAGTTTCTGCTTCCGCCTCGTCCTCTCGTCTCTCCGTACCTCGCGCCATTGCAAGCATCGTCATAGCAACGCCTTAAATTTGTCACATTTAGATTGTCTATTATGTTCTCATTTTTACTTATTAGGTATTTAATAATTGTCTTACAACTGTCTTTAAGCACAACACTGCACTACTGTTTTTTAAAGTCAAAAGCTTGACATAAAAGTTAAATATTGGTAAAATAATTCCTTAATTAAGTAAGAAATGTATGCATAAATGCAAAAATCAGACAGATAATTAACCCGTAAACGATCGCACTGAAATCCGTCGACGCGAGCGCTAATAGCGTGACAACAACCGTCTGCACCTAACATCGGAACACTATAAACTCTAACCCGGGAACGAAGCAGGCGGGGACTCTTCGAGGGGGGGCCCGACCGCAGTGGGGGGGCCGGGTGCTCGCGCGGTGATTGGGCGAGGCGAGCGAGGCGTGCCAGGGGTGGAGAAACGTAATGGAGCAATAAGGTTTAAACAATTTCGTTTAATACGTTGAATTATGTAAGAGAACGGCGGGCAAGTAATCGCGCACAAGCGATAAGGCCATTTGCGCTACTTCGTTACGTATTAATGGGGCAGGAAATTGACTTATGAATATTAGAGGTCGCGGCGAGCTGAAGATCGGGCCAAAGCGGCCCCGTGCGGCTCTGCCGGGTTATTTTCGTAGTTAAGCGCTGAAACAATGATGTTTATTGAGTTTTGAACTTAATGGCTTTTGGGCTGCGGCTGCGAGCGATTTGCGTCATTAAAGTGTTTGGATAGGTCTTTAAATACCTGTGGATGTATTCAACCTGTTAATTGTAACCGCTTTGTAATTTCGAATTACATTTCATATGAATTGACGAAGTTTTCAACGGCCTTAGTTGTGATTACGATAGCTACGTTTTAGTTGATGAGTTTGTAAATAAATAAGAATAATATAATAAATGTGTAGGTAGGTATACATAATAAATTAAATGTTTACTCCAAGGGATAAAAGCACTTTAAGATTGGACTCTTATATTTTACTTGCTTTTGTTTATCTATATACCTATATAAAAGTCAAAAGATGAGATTTGAGATTGAGATTGACTGATGTATCAACGCACAGGCCAAACCCTTAAGGCTAGAAAATTGAAATTTCGCACACGTATTCCTCATATGACGAAGGCATCCACTAAGGACGGATTTTTCAAAAGTCAACCCTCAAGGGGGTGAAATAGGGGATAAAAGTTTCTATGACACTTTTTATTCCTTAGGGTATATTTGCATGAAACGTATGACTTGAGTACGGCAAAAATAATGAATTACGTATTTAAGCGTTTTCTAAAATTCAACCCCTAAGAGGGTAAAATAGAGGATTAAAGTTTTTATGAAACTCACTTTTTAGAGTTTTTTTGAAATTTTTGCGCGAGCGAAGCCGCGGGTTCTGCAAGTTTTCATATAAATTCTTTAAGTAGTAGGTACTTACGAAAAGTTTTTAAGGTGGATTATTTTTTACTACATAACATGTAAACTTTTTCAAAGAGAAACTTTGTTCAGTACCTACCTATTTGAATATAACATTACGCGATTTCCGATTTATAGTTTTCATTGTCTCCAAGTATTGACATCCATTTATTTGTTACACAGAAGATAAATAAACGAGTTGATTAGGTAGATAGGTACATAGAGCCAAGAATAGGGTTCTTTACGTGCAATGTCAATAAATGTCATAGGTATTTATTAGATGAAACACAAAAACAAATCTATCCCGTGGGAACCGTACATTTTTCCGGAATAAAAAATAACTTAACTATGTACTATTCTAGATTAAGTCTATCTCTATGCCACATCCAGATCCATTCAGCCGTGATTGAGTAACAAACATCCATCCAAACATTCGCATTTATAATAATTACTAGCGACTTACCCTTGCTTCGCTCGTCGTCGTCTAGATACGTAGATTATAGTCACAATTTTATGGGTTTTAATTTTTTGGCGCGAAACCATGGTTGTTTTTCTAAAATAAAAGTAGCCTGCCTAAATTACTCCTCATAACATCAGCTATCTGCCAGTGAAAGTCCCCTCAAAATCGGTCCAGCCGTTTTGGAGATTAGCTGACACAAACCAACAAACAGGCAGACAGACAAATTTAAAAACTGTTTTTTTCTTATAAGAACCGTATAGGTATACTTTCATACGCATTCAGTAAAAAGCTGTTATTTGTCAATAAAAGACGATTGAACACAAATCTAGATAATAAATAATAATAATTCGTGCAATAACGAATTTGTAAAGCCGTTCAATTAATTATAATAAATAATTATGTATTAAAAAATATTATTATGAATCAAAATATACCTAAGTGTGATGTGATTATAAGATCAAAATTCAGAATAAATTTTCTTAACGTATTATACTTATAATGTTTAGTATAGATTTCTCAGAGATGAGATATTTTCCCGCTATAAAAAACCCTGATAACCAGCTATCATCTTACCAAATTTCATCAAATTGTCACAGACAGGCAGACAGACTGACAAAAAAAATAAATTCGGCCTCTGTATCGATAATAATGACTATTTCAATAAGATTTTCCAAAAAAAATATTAAATGTACATATTCGACTCAGAATTTTATTATAGATAGATAGATAGATAAATTCTTTATTGCACACACAAAAAAAAAAAAGATTACAGAAGATAAAAATAAAAAATAAATAACAAATAGGCATGCAAAGGCGGTCTTATTGCTACGAGCAATCTCTTACAGACAACCTTTGGTGAAAGGATTAGAAGAATCGAAGACGGGACGGTACAATTAACACTAAATACAGACATGATGAACTACGTTTATAAACATGAATACATACAAAAGACAAAAATATATACATACACGTATAATATATATGTACACAGATACATAAATACATACATACATATACATAAGATACACAACTACATATGAATACATAGTATATACATATATAGGGGAGAGCGGGGCTGGAAGTTACCGGGGTAAGTCGTTCCGACGGTAATAACTTTGTAAGGGAAAGACATAGCAATAGATGTGAAGTGCGCCGTTACAGCATCAGGTAACGCGCTGCGCCGTCAGCCATTTTAGTTACTCCAGCGACGAAGGTTGAGTGGTTGTGTGCACGTAGCTGTCAAAACGTCACGTAAGTAAATTTTTTCGTGCTTAAACTATTTGGTCTATCTATGTTTATTATGGACCGATTCATATGTAACCTTCCAAAATTGTAGTGATATTGGTAAGGTATATTATCGCATAAGTATTTTTATAATTTATTATATTAGTTTGCTAGTATGTCAGTCTTCGTATATGAACGTAATTTGGGGTAAGAAGTTCCTTCCTGACGGGGCTGGTTGTTCCCCGGAACAACTTACCCCAATTTACCTTCGTCGTATACCTAAAATACTTTAGACCTTTTTTTTCATTTTAAGGATGCGATATTACAATCATAAGACAGAGGAAGGTAAACCCTCCGAGACTCCTCCGAGATTCTTATAAACTGTGGCAAGAGAACCGGAAATTTGCTGGAGCTGACTGTTTCACTGGATATAAGAAAAAAATCTATTTTAACTGACACGCCAGACAAAATGCGTTAGTCGAAGAACAGAAAAAGAAGCAGACAAAAAAGAATGAAGACATTGCAAAGAAAAGATAAGGAAAAAAACAAACAAAATAGTAAAGGAAAATATAAAACCAACGGGAAAGGGAAGGGAAAATCTCAAGGAAAAGCTAAACGAAGAGTGTTACAAGAAAACGAGACTGACATGTTAGCACGATCTAGAATGGTACGGTATAATTTGTTGTGATGCATATATTCAAATTTTCGTCCAAGAGAACAATGGATAGAATGTATCATGTGTAAAAATTGGGCTCGTATCAAATGTTTAGAGACGTACTTATGTGTGTCCCAACTGTGAGTCAGATAAAGAAATTAGTGTCGAATAAGATACCTGATGAATGAGAATGGAGATTGCCAAATTTAATTACACCTGATTAATGTAAGACTGATATAATGAATAATTTAAACAAATAAAAATAAGTTAATTTGGACATTATGTTTTGTTGTTTCTTGAAGTCAAGTTATGCATCTGATAAGATTTATAAGTTGATAGATCTCCATTATATGTTAACTAAGTAAAGAAACGTTTATCTGGAGCTCACCATTTAGGATTTGTTGTTTTTTAAAGTTACAAAAAGTTTATCTGGACCAGTAATATTTTGTACCAGTAATAGTTTGTTGTTTTTTTAAGTTTATTTTTGCTTAACTTAAACATTACATCATAAATATATAGAAATGGTTGTTTTATTTTATAAAACCTATGTTATTCGGATAGATTATTGTTATAATCTAAGTGGAACAATTTGCCCCAACGATGGAACAACTCGCCCCAAAGCGGGGCTGAATGTTCCGCTCCGAAAAATTGCTTCTGTAAAAAAAACTATTGAGATACTAGTATAAATGACTATAATATTACAAAAACCAATAAACATCCATTCAATATTTGCACATGTTAAAAATGAAACCCTTCATTTTTATAATAAAATTTCATGTTATTTAAAAATCGGAACTTCCAACCCCGCTCTCCCCTACTTAATAACTAACAAGACAGATAATAATTAGTTAGACAACGTTTAAAAATATTTAGTGATTTTGAATGGCGAACATCATGGGGGAGCATATTCCATAGCTTTACAGCTTTTACGGTAAAAGAATTACTATAGTAATTGGTGGTGCAAGATGGTAATTTCAAACGGTTGTCGCTCTGAGACCTAAGTTGCAAACCAGACACGTCCGAACCTAGAAAATTAAACCGTTCCTTTAAGTAAGAGGGAGTAGTTGGATTATAAAGGATGGAGAAAAGGATGGAAAGGACGTGCAAATTGCGCCTAAATCTGATTGGAAGCCACTTTAATTGCTTACGGTATTCGGAGATGTGGTCGAATTTACGTAAACCAAATATAAATCTGATGCACATATTCTGCAAACGTTCGAGCTTGTTAAGCTGTTCCTCTGAAACGTCGAGGTAGCAGCA